ATCTGGCGTCTTCACCAACGACGTTGCGGCCATGCGTATGCGAGATGTGTGCGAGGTTGGAGGCATCGGCGTGGCGGACTAGCAGAGGTCTGATTGGCTGCGTTGTGTGTAAGCGAAGTGGGTCCGATTTGAAGCACGAAGCGGCCGTCGTGGGGGTGGTGGTGGTGGAGGGTATTCTGGTGAGCAGCGGACCAGAGCCGCCAACGTGATTGGGCATCATAAGGCACTGAGTTTGTCCCCACGTGCGGTACGCGAGGTTGGCTGGGGAGATGGTGGCATGGCTGGTTGTGCCATTCCCTCCAAATTGCATATTCCCTCTGCACGGAGTCACGTGCAAGCAGCACGTGAGTGCATTGATCAGCAGTGCATCTGTGAGGTCAAGTGCTTGCGGTCATGTGGCAGGCCTTTGAACAAAACTGCGCATTTCGCACGAGAGGTTGTAAGCCAAGAGCACACCAACACGGCATTCACTTGGCTCACGAGGCAGGTACGTGCACACCGATGAATGACTTGAACACGGGACACGGTGTTTTGGCGAATCTGCTACCAACTGGGTGTCGATAGAGCCAATGCGTTTGAATTGAGACGCTGCCGTCTGTGTTTACGTTTCGAGCAAAGGTAGCGACAGTAGTGTACAACGTAGTAAATAGTGGTTGAAATGGACGAATGGGTTTTCATGTGTGGCAGCCAGGGGAAAGTGTAGAGTGTCGTTTTGGAGAGATTGTTGCTCGGGTATTGTGTACCAGGTGTATGCGCATACACGTGTCCCCATGTGAATGCCAATTTGCGGGCAACTAAGTCAGTGACGCTTTAAAAGGCTCTACTGGTGCCACGCCAATCCGTCATGCGAAGACATCACGGTGGTCCCCAACTTAGCCCCTATTGTGCATTCTTGCAAAGTGTACTCTTGAGGTGGTACATGGGCAGGGCATGGCAGGTGAATGCAGGTTGTGTGGTGGATTGTGCATCGATCGCCACCACAGCCACTGCAACCCAAAACTGAGATCGCAGTCAGCAGCAATTTAGGGTGTGGTAGGTGGAGCATTTGGTTGTCACTGCAAGCATCTTTCACCTGCGCCTACTCGAAGTTGAAATGGGGTCGTGTCGGCGTTGATTTGTGGGTACTGTACGCGCTGTTTTCTCGTATGCACGATCCCTCCTGACCACGGTGGCAGCAGGTTTACCGCGCAAAGACTCGTGCTCGGTTGTGCGGTGTGCTGTTGCTGCGTTGATGTGTTTCCGGAAGAACCGCAAGTCACGGCTTGATTGACAGGTGGTAGTGAAAGCGTCATTCTGTTTGCCAGTGATCGGCCTGTTGCTGTGGCATTTGCTACCAATTAGCTGATCGCTAAAATCGGCTTTGGTATCAATAAGTTGATCGCTGGTCGTGGCTGAGGTCAGTTCCTGACTCACTTGTTTACTTATCTACGTGCACACGACTTTCGATAGCGCGCGCCTGCACAAACCCACACACACACGCACACACAGACAAGCATTCCTGATTTTATGCGGGTTAATCTTGTGGTGCCGATATGAATCGATCATGCACACGACCTAGCAGTGTGTAAGTTGGCTATTTATGGAACAGGTATCCTCTGCACAGGGTGGGGTAATGATTGGCAAGGTTTGTGATAGTCGTTGAAGACGTGTGCGCAAGACAGGGAGGCAGAAAGAGACGAGGTTGAGCAATGGTGTGAGTGATGTTGGAAATGAAGGGATTTCAGACATCACTGACCCTGAGGCTGGAGAAATCGTTTAGGGGGAATGGACTTGCGCCAAACTCCACTCCTAAGAGCGTGGAATTCCTAGCGCAATCAAATAGAAAAATCTGTACGTCTTTTGACAACTCGGAAAATTGAGCCTTGGTGACATGCCGGCTAATGCCTCGTCTAATTCACTCAGTCCAGCGTTCCTATTTAGCTGCGAGAGTGTCTGCTGCCGCATTCGGAGTCCGCGTGAAACGCGAATGCCGCCAAACCGTTCTACCCGCACTTTGTCGTGACCTTGCCGTTCCACGCACAAGACTTGACCTCTTTGGTGGTGGTGGGGTGATGGTGCTGGTTATTGAACGTTGTTTTCTCCTTTGTAGGGCATATTCCGCGTTGCAGGACAGGTTTCTCGAATCGCTCTTCTACGCGTAAGTTGTCACCCCCTTCATCGCCTTGTCACCACTCCGTGTGCGTATTCTTCCTACCTCCCAAACTCCGCCCACTTGCTTTCCACGTAGACATCCTTAAAGTAGTACTTTCTTAAGGGTCTGATAATCCCACACGCTACTGCACATTTGTGGACTGCTCCATCTCCCATTCGCCGCCACACAAAACCGCTTCCTAAGCAATTTCGCCCCCACGAGTGCACAGGTTCCAGCTGAATTCCATCATTTCGCGTCAGTGAAACGGGCATTCGCGCACCGACGAAGGTCAAGTCAAGTGCTGTGGTTGTGAGATTGTGGCGCCGATGCCCAAGTGTCCTATTGGAGGGACTTGTGGTGACAGGCTTCGAGGCCCGAAGCGACACGTCACCGTTGTGTGTGCGCGCGTGTGTGTGTTGGCGAATGCTGGTCCGCCGAATTCGACGACAAACGCGAAATTGGCTGTTGAGCATGCGAGGTGGTGGTGGTGCTGGCGGTGGCGGTAGAAGTTCCTGATTCCACCGCACACCTGACGAATAATCCTCTGGCATTTCCCGAAGGTCTTAAACGTTCTCGAGATGAACTTCTGACCTGCGACAGTGGGCTTTTCATTTGCGGAAAAATTAAACATTTGTTTCAAACACAACTGCTCGATCAACCCAGTTTCGGTGTAACAGAAGTCGTCAAGTTGCATCAAAAATTTTATGTTAAAAAAAGTGGAAATGATAAAAAAAGGAGAGATAGAGAAAGATTAGCATTGATGAAGTCAAAGAAGGCATTCCGTTCAATCAGGCAGGAATGAATGAGGATTCTGGGCGTGGGCGTCTCCTTCGTTCAACTACTTTGGCACATGTCACTGCCTCAATGGCTTAGCGTTTTCATTGGCGTTGGAGTTGGACGCTGGCGTCGATGACTTGCAACGCTCACTTCCACTCTCGGCGGGTGCGTTCCCCATGGATGGGACGGAGATGCGTTTGCGATCCAGGCTTTCCTTCACCTTGCAAAACTCTGGTAGGTCACCGGAGGAATCGCGACCTTTCTCTTTCTTCCCAGGATTGCGCAGAATCGGTTTCACCTCCTCTGTCCCATCTACGCCAGACGTCTTTCGAGAAGCCTCCGTACTGCTCTGGCCTTTGGCCTCCTGAACCACCGCTGCTACGTCCTTGGCCTCGTTTGCTTGCGTATCTTTTGCCTCTGTCGGGACATTGCGTTCTGGATCCTCTCCGGTCTTTGGAACCTCTGGTGGCGCCGTGTCCTTGGACGGCTCCTCGTTCGAATAATTCGGGGACACATATCCGTCTCCTGGGGGCCCTGATGCCTCAGAGGTATATTCAGAATCGAGTGGAACGTCGTACTGATTCTCGGACTGCGAAGAAACCGGATGTTTCGCGATATCGAAGGAAGTGATAGGACCATTGGAAGTTGACTGGCGTTGGTCGGAGGACGCAGAACCACCGCCAACTGGTGGAGGGATCGGCGGCTTCAACGGGGCTTGATTTAGAGACGAAGCGGACAACTTGGCGGAACCGCCGTCGCCCGACGATGTCTGCGCGGAGTAGCGCGGAGGGACTGCAGAGGAACTTGACATCCGTGGAACTGGGGGAGGTGGAGCCCTTTGCTTCTGAGTTGGCTCGCAGACGCTTTACGAAAAAAAAACCGTGCATGGAAGCGCTTTCAGTGGGTCTGAAGTTAACAAGGTTTCAGCGAATCGGATCGTGTAAGTCAAACACATGATCGAGAAGTCGACAAATGCGTTCAGTCACACACCCGTCACTACTGTCAAAGCGGGGGTCTATTCAGGTGTAGAGGTTTGGTCTTACCTCGGGCGATTCTGCTCGTAGTAGGTTCGATCTGGAACTTGGGGCGGGGTCACCGAACTGGGATGAGGGCTGAAGGCAGCCGGTGTCCTCCAGCCGACCGGCAGAGGGGGTGTGGGTGTCTGCGTGGCGCACTCCAGTATTTGAGCAATGTCCTCTGCAAGCGACAAAAAGCAGCCCATAACATTTGGCTGGCACTTTCGCAGTCTGTGTGCCAGTCCGTTTTCCCATTCACCGATGCGTGTCTTTGTATAGCGGCCCTCAACAACGTGACAGGTCAGCCTACAACATCGACGACCTCTTTCCATGCTCAAGTTGGCAAGGAAGTGACTTCGATTTCACAGGTGAATGGCGTTAGGCTTGTTTAACAGGACCTTTGTCGAGATCATGATGATGGTTAACGCACTTAGGTTAGTCGAGACGCAAATTCGAACATTTCGACATGTTCTGACACGCATTTTCGTAAGGACGCGAAAGCAACCGAGGTTCACAAAAAGGATGTTTTCGAATTGGCTTGAAAACATTGCACTAGTTCAGCCGCTTGATTCTTGAATTCAACACCTTTAACACAATGAAATCGTCCCTATTTTTTCACAAGATAATCACTTACAAGAAGAACATCAACCGACGACGATTGTGGTGATGATTTCAACGAAAAACCTGACCGCTAGCATTCCTTTTTTGGAATAAAACTATCGTAATTTCCACATGGGTCGTCTGTTTGCTGAACTTTGAGCTAACTCGAAGCAAACCATTCTACGATTGGCGGCGAATTTAAAACATCATGTTCCAAAACGTAACTGTGTTTGAAGTAAGCAAACAAGGTTCAAAGGGCAGAAATGTTAAATCCCTATCACTTGGTCATTTCTTCAATGTAGCAATCCATTCACAAGGTAAAAATGTTCAGCAAACGGCGACGGCGAACATGTTGGATACAATCAGTGAACCGAAGCAAGGAAATCCGTTGTGGACGCCAGGATAAACACGTCCACAACGGATTTCCTTGAAAGGCTACCCATCTGACAGGCGAGTGATTGTGACTCCATCTACAAACGCCACAACCAGAATCTGATTCGCATTGAGGCCGTCACCCCTACGACTTGGTGGTGGACAAAATAGAGAATCTAAGTCTCAAGGTACAAATCGTGGTAAATCGCGTCCTGTGTACGTCTGTGACGTGTGACAAGGCACAAAGTTGTTGGCGCAGACACACATCTGCCCGTCCACTCTGGTCCCATTGACGGAGTCTCCAGGAACCAACGCTCAACCCGGTACCTTATCAACTGATAAAGCCAACGTGATTTTAGTTCCTGACCCTACAACAGCTCAACTTCGCTCTTGGATCGGCCACGCTACAAGTGGTGATTCAGTTGTTAAACCCGTTTGAGGTGGTATTCAACGCCCCAACGGTAAGGCCAACCCTCAAACCATTCCAAGCTCTCATTCCTATCTCGAAGGGTATTCGTTTCTCAGAAAGTTCGTCCATCTGCAGGACTTGAATCTCTCGCCTGGTACAGGTCTCGGACACACATCCATTCCCCACACAACTGGCATCGTCAAAGTACCAATTCCTCGTAAAGTACTGGCGATCTAGCCTTCTTTGGACTGATTCTTTGGAGGGGGGTAAGTGAGATGCGTGCTGATTGGCTGGAACAACGTACTTTCATCCTTCACGATTTTATTGGCTTTTTTGGCAAGAAGTTGGATAATGGGAGCTACCACGCCGAAATCAGTGACTCCACAAGTGTCTTCGGAGCTGAAAAACAACAACAATAATAATAAGTCGGTAAACTTGTGAGAAATCCATTAAAACAACAACTTTTTGCTCTACTAAGAGATCACTGTTTGGCACTTCAGTAAAAACTCGCTACTGAAGTACTCTATCATACATATAAAACGTGACAGGTGTGTCAACCTTGAAGCTAACTCAAGAAAAGCTCTAGCAACAGCGTACGAGTCATAGCAACACACAAACACTCAGCACCATCAACCACCTTGATTGGTCAACACAGGGGCAGCCGCGCCGTGATTCGCTGAACTGGAAATACCACGCGTTACACTCAGAACTAGGGGGCCTAGGCAGTTCCGCACGAAAGGCACTCACTTTTGCCGATAAAAGTTCATGTAAAGCGTCGTGGCTAGATTTTCGGGCGTCATCTTCGATGTCGGGCTGTCAACCACCTTGCCGAGGAATTGGACAATCAGAATGAGATTCTTTCTATTGACTTCGGGCAAGTGGTCTTGCATAAGTGAGTAGGCAACGCTTGAAGTTGGCCTTGAATGGAATTAAAGCCATTTACGTTAAAAAAAACGACACGGAAAATCGATTGCAGCTGCGCATTCGCTAGAGGAACGAGGTGCTTACTTTCCAACCAAGCAAATGTGCGTCTTGCTGGACACAAACCCGCCCAGAATTCGATTCCTTACATGTTGTCACACCTAACACGACAGTTGATAAGGCTAAAATGAGTTTTCAAAAGTGGGTAGCACCAGATTTGTAGTGAAGACATTGTGTCCGTGGTTTAATATGCCAAGCACGCATGAATTTGGATTGGGAGCCAATCGAAGGGAAACGACCAGCATTGGCAACTTGCACACGAATCGTACTTCACTGAGACTGGCAAGGCCTCACACACAAGGCTGAGAAGCGACAGCGGATACGACCGGCTATAAGCGTCCGTTCGCGAACGAGCGAACGCGCGTAACAGGTGGTTTGCAGCAGCAACCAATGAGAAGTAGGGGTGAGTCATTGACGCCAACAGCCAACCACAGATATTTACCTAAACGCATTGGACATTCCACGAGCACGGAATCTTAGAAGGCTACCAAGGCGTTCGAATGGTGAACTAAGTAGAGTTCATTCTTAGATTAAAAAAGACCACGCCTAGATCACACCACTGAACTGAAAGTTTTTTTCATGCCAACAGAATTGAGTCGACGGGCTAAATCAACGCCAAGCAGGATGATAGGCAAGTTAAAATGAGGATTGGTGTGGAGCCTACTTGGAGGGCCAGTTTTTCACGAACTCGCGTGTCAGGATTGGTTCGCGCAGCTCTCGAAGGTACTGCTTGATCACGTCAGCCACCACGAAGACCCCACAGAATTCAAACAGCGCGGCATCCGCCATGTCCTTGTCAAGGGCCTCCTAAAAGCAACAAACCTTGTCAGATGAAAGGCGTGTGTGTGTGTGCGTGAGTGCGGTATACTAGCAGTTGGTCATTTATCAAAAACCACGCACAAATTCCGTCGCATTTACAGCCAAATTTCACATGAGTGACTGAATCAACAGGCAAACGGGGTGGTATTTGCGAGAATCACGTGACGTTTCAGGCGCGGCAGCATGGAACTTGTCGAATTACGCCACAGACGGCGGACTGCTAGTATCCGCCAGCTCAAACATTGTGTGTCTGCACCGAATGGCAAAGCGGTTTTTTTACCCGTCTGCTGCCCACTCTCCCGCCCTTTTACAAATCACACGTCACGCTCATGAAGTGATAAGCAGACTTTAGCGTTACTGCCGCATCGACAATTCACTTTGTGCATTCCCGCTCATCCGCGTGGATCAATGCTCAGTCAATTGCACACTCCGACGCTTTAGCAGCTCCGGTTGTTCTCAGGTGTTATTAAAAGCGACCTGGTTTGGAGATAAACTGGGTTTACGATTAGGGAAATGTTGGGACACAGAGCCGGAAAAACTTTGTCACAACTTGGCTGACAGGTGGAGCTTAATATTAGGTGTGCTCGAATCCTAGGTTCATGCGGTAAAACCTTCCACATAGACGATCGTCTTCTCTTACTATCGAAAGCCTTCAGCGTGGCTCAAAATTGACAAACGACACAATCCAAACATGAGCAAGAAAAAGGCAAAGTTTCAGCTTCTAAGGCTCACTCGCACAGCCAACCCCCCCATGCCCAGAATCCTCACTCATTACTGCCAGATTGAACGCATTGCCTTCTTTGACTTCAATGCTAATCTTTCTCTATCTCTCCTTTTTTTATCATTTCCACTTTTTTTAACATAAAATTTTTGATGCAACTTGACG